ACAAGTGTAGGCTGTAAGTGTATGGTGTTTTATTCATATTTATGTGGGACTTGGCACAGAGAAGGTCAGTAGATACCTTTAGGATGAACAACCAAATGAGAACCTCAAGGGGATATGCAGTCCCTGGATCTCATGGTAGAACTCTGAATCAAATATCCAACACTTTGCCTCTGTCAGTTTTATAATGCTTCCTTCATTCTTCCTAACGTCAGTTACTTGTGTACAAACACCTTCTCCATTTGCTCTCCTCCTTGTGGGCCTAGGCAGTACTGCATTCACCTCTGTATCTTAAATGAGTCTCACACAGAGGAAGACAGTAAACATTATTTAAATCAAATGATTTCCCAGGAGTATTGCTATACATAATGGCTGGGGTTTTTTTTGTTTGTTTGTTTTTCCATTACTAACAGCTGTATTTCAGGTATATTTAGTTATTAAAAGGGTTTTGGTGGATTGGTCTGAGGATCTAAACATCACTTAAAGTACTATTTTTATAAGGAAACGTATACAAGTTCCAAAATAACCCAACTTTTAAAATGAAATTTTATCTAATAAGCCAATTGTAGGTTCAAGGTTGGCTGTACAATGTGATTGAACCTGTAAGACCTAATATTCATGTGAAAAATTAAAATGTCAATCATGAGAATATATCTAAATATTTGATTCTATGGCTTCCTGCAGGCAATATTTAATCATTTTAAATTTCAAATTTAATCTGGATGACATTGTTCACATAACAGAATTAGGGGCTATTTAGAAAAAAAACTTTTCTTCAAATATATAAAGTTTTCTTGACGAAAATATTTATGGTTTCATAACTTAATCATAGTAATTCTGCACTTAATAAAATAAATGCATTCTAGACACTATACTACTAATATGTAAATCTTTTAAGTAACTATGTTTTAGTTTCCATTGCAATATTCACATGTTTTACAGAGAAAAACATGGAACCATGAGTAAAACAATTATATTTCAGAACTAATATTTTTTAAAAACATAAATAAATAATTCTAAAAATAGCCTACATTAAACATACTTGTAATACTATATTGAAAATAATTCACAAACTTTTTTTAAAAAAACCTGAAAATGAAAATAAACTGACCAATCAGATCATCTGAATCATCCAGCATCATTTTCTGTGGTCCCTGTAAAGCTAGTAGTTTCTAATGTGTTAACATTCTGATAAAATCATACCTACATCATAAAAACCAGCCTTTGAACTACCTTCTTATTTCAAATTCATGTTGAAAATATGGGGGTTTTGTCTTACTTTTGGCCTTTTTCAAGCATCTCAGTATAATAATGACCAGGGCACCCTTTAGTGAGTGAGAAGATATAGTTCCAAATAATCTAGGAACTGTAAGCATTTTTTCTTGTTCTGCCTGGGCTCATTCTTAACACTTCTGAATATCATAGTGGTTAAGTGAAGCCAGAGCACCTAGGTTCAAGCTTGACTTTACCATTTACTTCCTATATGATTTTAGACAAGTTAAGAAAAGTCTCTGAGCATTAGTTTTCATATCTATATAATAAAGGGCATTTCTGACAGCGACCCCATAGGGTGGTTCTTAGAATGAAAATAATATTTGCAAAATGCTTAAAACAGTATCTGCCTCAAGTAGGTGCTATAATAACAACAACAATAACTTTATTTTATATAGGCCAATAAAATAACTAGTATTACTTATAATACTCTAAGTTGAAAATTAAATATTTTAATACAATTATTATTACTGTTATTGTTATTTTTTTTCTAACAACTGCCAAATGCATAGTTGGTGAAAATTTTCATGATCCTCTTCATGGATTTGTTTAAATTAATTTACTAAGTATAAAATCATTAAGTGTATTTCTGTATAAAAGAGATCTTTCATTTTGAACTATAACTGCGATTCTTCAATGAGTTATTCAAGTTTTTTTCTTTAACCCTAAAAAATTCTTGAGGGTAGGGCTTATCTTCTATGTCTTTTGCATTCATTACATTCTATTCAAACACTCTTGTTCTTCTATATATTTAATAAGTAATAAATGATTTAATTAATGAGTCAATGAGCAGCTATGGGACTTTAAATCAGATAGCAAACATAGTTAAAATTCAACCTATAGGAATAGGCACTTTTCAAGATAATACAAGAGCGTTTGGCTTACACAGGTCAAGGGATTCCTGGTCTCACACACATGACCTTCTGGCTCACAACTCGTACTTGCAGTAAAGAGTTGGTGAGAATACATATTTGAGAGGCACAAGGAGAAATTAAGCAATGAAACAGAATGGGCTACAGATCTAGACTATAAAGATACTTGTAGAATGTGACTAAAAACCTAATGCTACTCTGCTCTATAAAGTTTATTCTATCACTTAGGGAGTAACAAGGCCACAAACTCTAGCAAAAACAAAACAAAAAACCTCTGGACTTAAAAAGAAATCCCATATAATGCCTTTGTACCATCCACTTCTCTGAAGCCTCTGTGAAAATAATAGGAATCACAATTTTACGTAAAATCAACCTGAAGCATATAAAACAAATATAAAAAGTTCACGGTTTGAAATAAGTAGAATATCTTACCCTTATACATTTTCCTTAAAATATGTGTAAGATTTCCTATCAACTTTAAGAATCTTCCTTTGGAATTAGTCATTAAGAGACAGCAAATTTCAAAGAAACTATTTAGTTCTTTATGAAGAAAAAAATGCATTAGGTCAGAATGAAATCTATCTTATAGATTTCCCGGGTTTGGGTCTACCTTCATAACATGTTATACACATAAACTGATCTCTCTACAATATAAGAATGCCAGATACGCATTCTAGAAAGAATATTTTTTCAATATTTAACAAAGATGCTCTGCAGACTTGCGCATTTGTAGACATGCAGGCAGGTATACAAAAAACCTGGACAGATACACTCTTAAGTTGCCAAGAAAGGTGATCGAAACTATACCCTGCCATTTCATTATTCTAGCAATCTTACTTTTATTACCATACTGAAAGTTAAGGCAAGTAGTTACCCTATTGCATAAACAATGAAGTTTTAAAACCCAAACAGAAAGGAACGGGTAAAGCAATAATTTCTACTAATCCCGTTTGAATATTCAGTAAATATGTATGCTTGGAAAGTTGAACTGTGGGACTTGGAAGGCAGTGAAATGCGAACTGGTTTCAACTGATGCATGGATTGATTCTATTTGGAAAAATAGGAGAAAAGAAAAGAGAGGCAATAGAGAAGAAAGATGTGAGATGAGAGCTCTCAACGTGGCAGGCAGTAGAGTGATTTTCTGGAGTCGATACGTGTGGGTTTGGGTATGAGGGAGATTTGAGAACACTAACATGGAGAGGGGAAGGTGAAGGTTAAAGGAGGAAGAAAGCAAACAGAACTGCCAAGTAATTCACTCCTTTCTCCAAAAGTCTGAGTAGTGCCAGAGAAGGAAGAAGAGTGCATTAGACAGAATTCGATTTGTGATAAACGATTATCCAAAACCTGAAGGAAGGGATTCTGGTATTTACCTTGTGGAAGCATATTAACTCTTCTAGGTGATGAGGATAGTTTTCCCTCAGTGGGGAAGAAAGTTACTTCTACGTTGGACCTTCAGTATTTTCAGAGAGTCCATGCCACCATACAAGTAAGCACTTTATCCATGCCCTTACATTAAAAAACACCCCCTCAAACAGCAATTAAATGTGCATACACATGTGTAATGTGCCAAATTACTAAACTGTTTGAGTTAATTGATAAACAAAGAACTCTCTAGCCTAGATGTCTATGGGTTTTATTCATGTACTACAAGTTTTGGACAACTTTATATTTATTTACACACACACACACACACACACACACCCCTAGAGAGTGAAATACATAAAGCAAAACTTCATTTTCTTTGTATATAACTTTAGAATATTACCCTCTTTTACAAAATCTTTCCTGTAAGTTATTCACCACTGACAGGTAAGACAAGATTTTTGACTGAAATCTCTCTTTATTGCTCTTTATTGGCAAATAAACCAAGAGACCTCTATCCCACACTATACTACACTTTTAAAAAGCAGTAACAATAAAACGCTTACTCTTCCTTTCCCCTGGTTAAAAAAAATCAGATTCCCAACAAAATAAAAAAATGAATCAATGCAAAAATGAAAATGTGATATGATACTTAAAATCTTGACATTACTGCACAACTTGATTAGAAGGAATGTTCAACCTGCATGGAATTAACCCAGTGTACATCTGTGCATACTAAATTTTTTTCATCTTGTATGTATTCCTACTTATTGTTGAAACACATGTGCAGTCATAAATGTTGCATAAATGGCATGTTTGTGCATATTGCACACTGACAGTTTTTATGAATGAATACACATAAATGCTCATAACTCGAGAAAATGGATGGCGGCATACTATTTTGAAGAGGGTCATTAAGCACCGGGAGCAAATGATGAGGCAAATGGTCGATGTCTTTTGGTGCTATTCAGGGCAAACGTATTCCCAAGTCCCCTAGCAGAGTGTGTTGGAAACAGCCATGAAGCTCTCTCCTTAGAGACCCGTTCTCCCTCTCGGGAATCGTGCTACAGAACCGAGACCGCGCACCGCTTGAAGAATAAAATGCATGAATGTCTCTGTGTTCTGAGGATCGTTCACACATCAGAGACATCACACTCCCTAAATCCAGTCCCACAAGTGTGTGCATGTGAGAGTGGCATTTACCAACAAATGGACGGAAGGCAACGAGAGCTCAGCTCCTAGAAATAACATCCTCATCCCTTCCCATTCAGGCTGCTGGGAAGCTTTTCAAGGGCTAACACTTGAGCGCCTTCCCCACCAGGAAGGAGTCTTACATTAAAAACCCTCTCAGGGCTAAGTCAGCTTTGTGTATAAGTCCACTGGGCGCCATATGGCAGTTTCCAATTCCTTTAGCAACTCAAGTCTGGCTAGGCTGCCGCGATGATTCATTCTTAAAGGAAGACCCCTTCGAGGGGCAGCAATGCCCCCGCCACTTACCTAGCTCCCACAGACCCCGCTCAGCAGGCGGCACGGGCTCGGGCACCACAAAGGGCTGCGGGATTCCCCGCTCCCTCCAGGGAGCCTCTCCCCGCGACGATCCCCTTCGCCAATGATCTGTCGCTGGAAATCCCCCTCCCCTCCGCAAAGAGGAGGGTCTCCCCGGCTGGCTGGAGCTCCTGGCGTGCTTTCCCCCAGTCTTTACATCCCTGACTCTGGTTCCCGGTCTCTAGTAGGAAGGCTCAGAGGAGAGGCGGCGGGAGGAAGCTAAGGCATCCTTTAAAAGAACAATAATCTTCGTCGATCTTCACCCTCTTCCCCACGCGGGGTCCCCATCCCCCTGCCGCCGCCACCGCCACCCAGACGAGAGAGGGCTGGAGCCGAAAAGGAAAAATCGAGCGGGGCTGAGCTCGCCGCGCGGAAGGAGCCGGAAAGCGAGTCGCGCCAGCCCGGGAGTTGCCGCTCTCTGGGGCTGCCCGAGACGCGGCAGCGGCGGTGGCCGCGGGGGCGGAGGGCGGAGGGCGGAGGGCGGTGGGTGCTTGGTGGGTGTGTGTCTGTGGCGGAGCGGGGCAGAGGCTGCGCGCGGGAGGCGAGGCGGCGCGCTCTGGGGCGCCGCTCCCCCGCCCCGCAGCTCGCCGGCCCGGCGCGCACACACGGCTGCGGCCACCCCAGCCTCCCGCTCCGCCTCCTCCCGCGCTCCGCGCACCCGCCGGCTGGAACGGCCGCCGCCTTCTCTTCCTCCTCCTCCTCCCCCTCCTCCTCCTCGGCGCTAGCGGCTCTCGAGGTGGGCGGCGGGGTGGGGTGACGGAGCTGTGCAAGTCGGCAGGGCGCCGCCGGGGACGCCAGGGCTCGGCCTCGCGGCGCCGGAGCTGTGCGCTCAGCTAGGGACAGCGCCCGGGTGTCCAGGGCGCGGCCGGGGCGCTGGCGGGCGGGCGCCGCCCACACCTCGGCGGGGCGCCTCCCTCAGCTCCCGCCTGCCCGCAGCTCCTGCTGCCCCGGGCCCGGCTCCTCCACACCCACCTGCTGGGCTCGGCAGCTCCCACCCGGCTGCACTGAGCTGGAGGGACTCAGCGCCCGCGGCTGCCGCGCACCGGAGGCTGGGAAAGCCCCGGGACGCCCGCTGCGGCGCGCTCTGGCGGGTTCGCGGGATTCCCTCGGCCCCTGTGCTTCCAGCTGCAGGGCTGTCCTCCCGCCCGCCCCCAGCACGACCCTGACCCTGGGCTGGCCGCTTGACCCCGGGGAACTGGGGCGAAGACAGATGGCTCCTGAGTGATGGTGCCAGGATTATTTTCCTGGAGAAAGAGCCGCGGAGATAACCAGGAGCGCTCATAAGATCTGACTTTCCTCCGAGCACCTGCAGCCCAGCTCGCTCGGGGGCAGTCCCTCGCCCTGAGTGACCCCGGTTTCCTGGGTTTGAGGGTAAAGCCGGGTCGGTGGCAGCCTTAACTCTTGCTTCCCACGGGGGCGCTCTTCATACCCTGCTTTCTTTCCTTTGCCTATCTACTTACCAGCTGGAAAACTATGCCAAGTTCCTTCTTGGCGAGGCCGCCGGGTGGACGCTCAGACCCCACTTTCAGGGCGCGGTAAAGAGAATGAACTTGAATAATATCGCTGGCCCTGCATATTCCTGAGCCCAGTGCTCCTTCACAGGCACGAAAGAGAGACAGCCACCACAGCTGTAGCAGCTTTCGGGAAAACAAAGTAGCTTAAAACACCTTTTAGAAAAGAACGCAGGCCATAACAATCTATTTAAAGCAGGGACTCCTGAGTTTCTATCGGCCAGGAAAGATGGCTGTTGAAGAAGGTCCAAGTACACTGTTTTAAATATCCTCCATGTCATCTTTGCCTTAGTTTTAGCCCTGGTGGGTCCTGGAGTGCGCTATCCTCTCTGATTCTCTGCACCTCTTTGTACTGAGGGTTTTTGGTTTGGGGGCGTTTTGTGTGTGTGGTGGTGGTGGTGGTGGTGGTGTTTTGAGATGTCACGTTAGACGAGATATTTAGCATAGAGGTTGGTCTTTCTGATGCTGTCGCTGTCCAGCAAGAAACTGCCCTGCCCTTTGCTCTTCTTGGGTCTTCTCAATTATGAACACTAGGAAAAGGACACCCAGATTCCCAAACTCTTATCCCCCACTCTGGCCTGATCCCAAGCTCCAGCTCCACACTTCAGAGCCCTGCAGGCAGTCCATTCCCTCCCCTCCAGCCTTTCCACCCTCCCACACAGTTTAAATACTTTCTGCCGATTGCTTTTCCTGACGCAAAACCCTGACCATATCATTTTCCTATTCACAAATATTCCCTGGTTTTCCATTTCCTACCAAACAGCGTCTGCACACCTGTGTGCCATTACATGTGAGTATCTGTGATACTCTTCTCCAGGTCTTAGGTGCAAATCATTGCAGTCCTAGAAGAGTCACTTCAAACTCTGCCTCTTCCATGACTTCTCCCCTTTGGCGTCCATCGCACAATGTCCCAGAAATCTTTTAAAGACACATATCACTTTCCACTCCTTATGCCATATATTTACTTTCTGTGTACATTTCTTAACATTTTAAATTCTAGGTTCCTCTAGAAACAATTCCATATCCCTTTATTGTTTGCATTCTTTATGTCTAACCCAAAGTCACACGTGAGAGATACCTGTTCATCTAACCAAGATTTATTTTGTAGTTTTTGTCAGTCAATATTTAGTAATTGAATGAAATTTACAAAATATTTTTAGGCTAGAAAGACTGCTGCAAATTCATTTAGAGTGTGCCTAAACTGAAGTTTGCATGACTTTTCATAAACTTAGGGGTGCTGAAAATTTCCTTACTTTGCTAGCTCTGTATCAACATTACTAATCATCTCACTAAGAATTTAATAATTTGACAAATATTTGTTTCAATTTTTACCTTAAATTTCCATTAGAGGTTAGAAATTTGAATCCTTTTGCCTGCTATCTAAGTGGTCATTAGTCAAGAGTAAATTATCTATTGGGTAAAATACAATTCTGCTATCTCCATTTCTGGGAAGCAGGGTGCTAGGAGTGAGTTATCCATCAACTCTGAGCCCTGTGTGTGAGCATGCAATGACAAGAAAAAACAATCTTTGGGTGGGGGGGAAATCTAATTTTGCTTCCTAAATGACTCATAATCCAAATGGAGTATAGAGAATCACCCCTGGTATACAAGTTGTTTTGGAATAGCAGAGTTCTCCATATGCACAGCTTGAATTCCGGATGGCTGCAGAGACTCTTGTGTTGATTATCATCATGTGGCTCCACTTCCTTAGTAAATTTGGGTAATTTGGGGTTTTGTTCAGTTGTTTGCCAAAGAAAAAATTAAAATGATCTAGCTGAAAAGTCAGACATGTTTTCACATTGCTCCCTTTAAGTTTTTTTGTTTATCTTTACTTATATTTATGGAACTGTTACTTTTGCTTATATTTCAATTTCTCAGAATTAGCTTGAGATATGACTAAATTATATTACAGTACAGGAGAGAAATGTCTCTTTGGGATGTCAAAATGCTTTCTTCATAATGCTTGATAAAATAAATAAGTATAATATAAATGTAACCTGAAATAACCTTATGCATATCATTAGATACGATTTAGATGAAGAATGTATTTCCTCATATATCATATGCTGGTGTATAAAAAAATATGTATAGGCACAAAATACCAAATATAATAGATTCTTGTTATTTTTTGATTGAATAAAGTATTTGAGCAAAACCAATTAAAAAAAAAAAGATATACCTGCACCAACATGTTTATCACAGCACAATTCACAATTGCAAAGATATGGAGCCAACCTAAGTGCTGTTAAACCAACCAGTGGATAAAGAAAATGTGTTGTAAATACAACATGGAATACTACTCAGCCATAAAAAAGAATAAAATATTGTCTTTTGCAGCAACCTGGATGGAGCTGGAAGCCATTATTCTAAGTGAATTAACTCAGTAATGGAAAACAAAATACCATATGTTCTAACTTATAAGTGGGAGCTAAGCTATGGGTACACAAAGACATACAAAATGGAATAATGGACATTGGAGACTCAGAAGGGAGAAGGGTAAGAGGAAGTAAGGGATAGAAAACTACTCATTGGGTACAATGTGCACCACTCCAGTGATGGCTGTACTAAAATCTCGACTTTACCACTGTGCAATTCATCCATGTAAACAAAACCCACTTACACTTCTAAAGCTATTAAAGTAAAACAATTTAATTAAAACAATTTTTAAAATCAAAATGATATGACCCCCATTAAAGGGAGAAACATACAAACATATATGTAAATGTGTTTGTGAGTACGTGGTATATTCTAGAAAGATGTATATTAAAAAGCTATCTCTGAGTTGAGAGGCAGGTTTTATTTGGTATAAACTGGTTATACAAAAAAGAGTTGGTATTAATCTTCAAATATCAGAACCATGAAGATACCACTTTACATTCTTAATCATAAACCACGTATAGACACAGACTGGGACTATACTTTTTAAATTTATTTTTTATAAGGGTAAATATTACAATGGTACTTATTGTCATACAAGAAAGTGACCACCGAAGGGTACATAGAGTTTATCACATTGTTAAATCTAATACGCCTTATTTTCTTCTTCTAAATAAAAATGTAGGAAAGCTTGGGAAGTTTTAAGCAACTCACAGAATCTTAGCAGCCACCGAAATCTTACACTAGCACATTGCTGTGAAAGCTTGAAAAATGAGCTGTCTGTGTGTTCTTCATTGAAAAGATAAGTACTATCTCATTGATTCTTCCATAATTAGTTGAGACTTGGCTGTCCTTTGAAGATTTAAAGTAAGAGATAAGCTCCAGACTGACTGTATTTGTATTTTTTTAACAGTTCTTATTCCGAATATGAACTTTCTGAAAGATGCCAGATGCTTAAACACATGTTACTGCCATGTAATAGCATGACTATAAGTATTGTGTTTGAATCCACACTTAGGCCAATTTGCAGATGTCAATAGTGTCTAAGTAGCCTTGTTTGATCTTAGGAATCCATGAAGCTTAGGGTAAGAGGTTTTTGGGGTCAGTGAAATGGATATTTTAAAAACATGCCACTTAGGATCTGAAATTTAGCTGCATTTTTCCATGATGTAGTGGAACAAGGATTGGACTCTCTATCAGACTCGAATTCCATCTCTCTTATGTAATTGTGCTGTGTAGTCAAAGATAAATACAAAACTTTACTACATGTCAGGCACTGGGCTAAATTCTTTATAGGTATTTGCTAATTTAATCCTTAAAATAGTTATTTAAAGTAGATAATATTGCTCTTCTCCCAGTTTGTAAAGGACGTGACTAAACTAGAGAGAATTTTTAACTCGGGATCATACTTATATGAATTGGAATTTGATCTAAGGCAGTATGACTGTATAATTTTAGGCTGTATTACTCCTACTGCACCCCACATTGATAATACCTTTCTGCCTGTCTCATTAAATTGTCTCGAGTTCATGTAGGAAACTATTATATAAAATATTATATAGATTATATTTTATTAATATAAATATTAATTCATATTACTGATAAATTTATATTAATATATTTCTGAATTGTATTAATATAATAGTAACATTATGAATATACTTATGCTAATATTTATATAATTATTATATATTATATTTTTCATTTTTAGGTATACATGTGAGTGTTGCTGAACACAACCTAAGTAAAGAAAATAATTTGTTGTTGGTCGTAAAGGGCAATGGAGGTAGATCATGTGCTTTTGTTCTCCAAGCAGGTAGACTGGTGCTGATCCACCCACAGTGCTCACTAGTTGTCTAATGACTTTTGTCTGTGGATTTGATGTGAGATGGTTGGGCACTTGGGGGATGAGGGATGTTGCCCTGGACTATGATAAAGGCTTTCAGGCTTAAACAGGGAAGATATCCATGTGGATCATAATCCACCCAGAAGTACTAAACACCAAGATTTTGAACATACCACCAGCACAGTGGAGCAAAAAGCTCTGGGGCTCTTAGAAAAAGCATATTTAGGGCCAGGCGTGGTGGCTCACGCCTGTAATCCCAGCACTTTGGGAGGCTGAGGTGGGCGGATCACGAGGTCAGGAGTTCAAGACCAGCCTGGCCAATATATTGAAACCCCTTCTCTTACAAAAAATACAAAAATTAGCCAGGCATGGTGGTGGGCGCCTATAGTCCCAGCTACTTTGGAGGCTGAGGCAGGAGAATCACTTGAACCCAGGAGGCAGAAGCTGCAGTGAGCTGAGATTGCACCACTGCACACCATCCTGGGCGACACAGCGAGACTCTCTCAAAAAAATTAAATAAA